ATCCCTATCCTGCTGCCTTCTCCATCGTGTCTAGTCCCACAGAGCTGTCCCCTGCTGCTCCCCGTGGAGACACTGGGAACGTTTGCTCTGTAAAGCTACCGAGCTGCTCCATTTGCCTTCCCAACCCATAGACTTTGCTTTTTTAGGCTGTTAAGCTGTGCACCTTTCCTGCATGCTGCTCCATCCTGCTCAGCCCAAAGCCAGAGGCCTGGCTGCCTTTCTCTCCTGGCCAGGTGGTATCCTGGTACTTCTGAGCTGGTGATCCCTGACCAGACACAACTGCCTGAGCCTCCTCACCTCAGTACCATGGCATTATCTGTGGCCATGGCATTTCAGTCCACTTTCCTGCACTGGCTGCAGGCAAGCAAGTTTCATATGGGAGCTCCTTCTTCCCTTTGCTTCTGTCATGGAGTAAGACTTGCATTTTTAATTTATGCCTTGGTGCACCAGCAATTAGATTACAGATCGTCATTTCTGTGAGCAGCAGCAGATACACTTCCTCCAAATCTATACTTAAAGTTCTGTATTTAGGGAAACCAATGTCTTTTACAACAACCAGGGGAGCACTGATAGGAGGTAAGTACTGCTCATGACTAACATAATATCACCTGTAACAGTGGTGAATACTATTTTGTTAAACTGTTTTTTTTTCTTTTTTTGAGATGAAAGCCCAAAGAGCCCTGATCAGCAATTTCTAGATTGAAAAAAAAAAGAATGAGAAAAAAAGTTTAAGCAAATTCCACTAGATCCATCTATTCATAAGTGCAGGTCTCTCATATGCAAATATTTCATGTTTAGTCACCTAGTTGCACCATTTACATATTTTATTTCCTCCTAGTATTTTGTGCACTTAATGAAATACCCTCTACCCATGTGGTAGAGGGTAAGTTGCTGACTACCACTTCACATATAAGCAGGTTCTATGGCAGAAAGTATCCCTTGAGGTTATCCAGTTGCTCATAGTTTGATCTGGCAGGACACTTCAAAACACCAATCACTTGTCATGTAGCAAAGCTTGGTATGTGTGTTTGCAAACTTGCTCAGTTCTGGCTTGTTGTTTAAAATTTTTGTATATCTTTTACTCCTGTCTTGAAACATCAAAGCTGAAGGAAAAAAAGATATTTAGCATGTGTCATTCAACCAAGGATATCATAAGATGTGTTTTTTATCTCATGATATGAGAGGTGAAAGACGACAACGAGTGGTACACAACAGGTAGATCCCTGGGATTTAATGGCACTCTGTTATTGATCTGCTGCCTTGCAGGAATACATAAATCTCTTGGTAGGCTTTTCTTGTTGTAAGTCCAAGCTGATTCAGACATATAAAATGGCGAATAGGTCAGCAGTAGTTTCAGCATAATTGAGTCAAGATGCAAATCTAGTGGGATACTTGGGATTTTAGTATAGTGCAACAAAGAAAGGCCAGTGAGTTGCATCACATTCACCATTTTTAACCTTAGTTAGCCTTTCTCCCACTGTTCTGAGGCAATGGCATCAAGTAATAAAAATAATATAATTTTCCTGGATGAATTGTGCTGTGTCTGTTCCCTCATTGATCGTAAAGCACCTTGTCCTGGCTAAAAGACCTTCTGCCTTTCCGAGAGATGCTGAGCCCTATCAGTCCGCCTCAAAGGCACTATTTGTTGCCCCCAGGTACTCTGACTTTTTCTTGTGCTTCATCCACATCTTCCTCAGGAGACTGGGAGTGCCACACAGGTTGCTTCCTGTCAGTGGTAGGGAAGCTTCTGCTCCTGGTGGCAGGGCCAGGTCATATTCTGCTGTCTTCCTCCAGCGCTGCCTGTGGCTAGCAAATAAAGCACAGATGTGTACAGTGTGCATCTCCATGGCCCTTCTTCCCTGCTTATGGCACTCAAGCACTCAAAACCAAAGGCTGCCTTGTTGAAAAGGTATGTCTGTGCCTGGCCCATCCCTGGGACTGGGAAGTCTGGAATGAGCATGGGCTGTGTGGGGCAGTGGGCTTGGATGCTGCTGCTGCCACCACTCTGCTTAGTGCTTCTTGTCCCCTTGCTATCAGAGTGAACACTCATGCGAGGGGATGGGCCACAAGTGGGGCCACCACTAAGTGCATCCTTTCTAGCACTTGCCACCAGACAAGAAGTCTGCAGGTTGCCCAGAAGGAGAGCTGGGCCCTTCCACCAAAGTCCATGTGGCAGTGCCCAGGAGGGGTAAACTCCACTGGTTGAGGGAGATTTATATCCATGTGTATGGAGTGTGGGGACACTGTGACAATGAGCTTGTTACTGTCTCTCAGGTGGTAGTGGCTGCTTCTCAAACACCACCTGGATCCATGTCTGGGTTAAATGACCGCTGATGAGTGCATTTGTGCTATGATCAAACTGTTCCTTAATTACACTTAAAGACAGACAGTAAAACTTTTTTTTAAATTAACTACATATTCTAATCTACCTTAGGGCAAATATTATAGACTTCTTAAGGGGAAAATACTTAAATTTTGAATTAAGATGATTTTTTTTCCCTAGTGATAAAACAGAGTTGTAACAGGCCCTGAGGCAGCTGTATAAACAGCCATGGATGACGATATAATCAGCAATTACATCCTTTACCAATCTCTCCCTGCCTTTGGGAAGCAAGACGAGTGGCTTGGCTGAAGGGGTGGGAAGGGACTTACTCTTCCGTAGAATTGCGGTCACGTGTGGGTGAGCCTGTGACAGCCACAGCTTTCACTGTGATATGGGCAACTGGAGGTGGAGGAATCTGTGGGAGGAAAAAGCACATCATTAGGAAATGCCACTGATGAATAGGGACACAGGTTCATCTGAGGAAAGAGGCTCTTTTAGGAAAACCAATAAACACTGTAAGTCTCTTAACAAGAGAAAGCAGGTTAAGGATTTGACTGCCCAACTCTCACCCACACAAACATAAATTGCTCATGTGAATGTTCTCATTGAGCTCAGCACAGGACTCTCATGAGCAAGAGTTACACCTCCCACTGAAGGAGGGAGGCTTGCAGAACATTTGATTCCCCAGTTTTAATGTTTAGCTTTCCAAGGCAGAGAGGCTTTGTGCAGACTGAACAGCCTCCCTCTTGCAGTTCCTTGCAGGCCACGTCCACAGCTGCCTGGGAAGCAGCTGTCTCAGCCATCACTGTTTCTTGAGCATTCAGAAATGTTTCCCTATTTTGCTGGGTGCTGCTCTGTGGCTTGAGTGGCCCTGATTATGCTCCAGTTCTGCCCTGGCTCCACAAGTGCCTAATCACTGACTTCCTCCTTGTCTTACTTGATCATAAATTGCCTGCCAGAACTGAGTCACATTTTCCTATAAACCGGTCACTGAGATTAATATATCCTCCAAGATGGTAAGCTAAAGTGTGAGTTGCCCGGAAATAGGAAAAGAAATCCAAAAATTGTGATGTGATCTCATAATTTCAGGCAATAAGTACACTTACTGATTTTACTGGCAATACTGAAAAATTTCTTCATATTATTGTCACTACTATAATTGGTCTTAAGCTGTTTAGGGCAGTTTCTCTTGGGATTAACCTCGGACTGGACACATTTAGGTGTGCTTTGCAAGTGTCCCAAGACTTAAAGATGTTTGAAATCACTTTTGCAAGCATCTTTGAAATGTAGCCATGTCAATTATTAGTAGGTTCAATTAGTTACATTACATTGAATACCATTAATTTTGACTATCCTTCAATATTGTACCATTGCTTTTCTAAAGTGTAGCCCAGCTATGAGCTAGCAAGTATGTTGCAGCCACCCTAAAGAGCATTCGAAGCCGTAAAGTTTTGATAGCGTGGTCTGGTGTTGGCCAAAAACTGTGAAAGTTGTTTGTTTCTTTTTTGGTAAGACAAAGAAGGGAGGAAGAATGTTTTAGTAAAGGTGAGTAATTTTTAACTGAAACATTTTGTCTGTCCACTAGAGAACAAATTTGGGGGTTTTGTATGATGATTTTCCCATCAACTCTTTATTGACATTTCTAACTCGTGATTATCATGTCATGTTGCCATTCTGGTGAATACAAATTATTTAATGTTTGTTCCACTTCAGAAATTATATTTTCCAACTTGTGAAATTCCCTGAGAAACAAGAGACCAATGCCTCCCAGCTCTTGCAGGTGGCTGAGCATCCAGAGCAGGAGCCTGCCTGTTTCTATCCCACCACCCTTCCTGATTTCCTGCAGGGCAGCTGTCCTGTGCCAGTCTGCCCCCAGCTAAGGATCCTCTCGCATAAATCATGTTGCAAAGCTTTAACAAAGACTGTGAAATCTGCACGTACTGCGACAGACTGACATGCTGTTACTGTGGGACATGCTGACAGGTATTAGGTTTGAAGATGCATTGGTATTTGCTGTATTTACTTACCAAAGACTTTCCATCCAACAGGTGATTATAGGACTTGGATGACTCTCGTTCAGTAATTCCCACTGCAAAGAAATATGGCATTATTGGTAATTGTCCCATTGGCACAGCTTGCATGAAAAGCCTCCTTCCATGCAGTAAAACCCAGATGGGACCAGAGCCCAGATTCAGGGTATAGTCTCATCAAATTTGAATATAGCCAAAAGTGCAGAGTTTTCTTTACTATGATGTCAAAATGATTGTGGGATTGCTTAAGTCATTCTGGAAACTCTCTCAACTGCTTGCTTCTACTTTTCAAATGAGATGATGAACTGTCCTTAGCAGACCAAGCTAAGTGGGTCTCCTTGCCCCTCTGTGAACACTCACATGTCTTTGCATGCAAAGAGTAATCTCATCTGCTGCTTCACAGCAGATGTTGGGTACACCAGTTTTTGCTTGTCTTGGAGCCCCCATATTGGTTTGTCCTGCTAGGAGATAATTGTCTCCTTTGTGGATTGCCCTGGGGAGTTGTTTTCACCTGGGCAGAAATACGTGCTACATCCACCCAATTGCAGGGAGGGATTTCAGCCTTTCTGACTGCCTGTGGCTGAGTGAGACTCCTCTCTGCTGTCCTCAAACCTGGAGGTTACCCTTCAGTTTCAAGTGAGCACTCGGCCAGCAACTCATCCATGGATAAATGCTCACTGACATTCCTGCAAACTGTGCCAATGAAATAAATGGGTGAGGGATGCCAGATATTTTTCGTGCAGCCAAATCCTCCCATTTGGCTGTGGGAATGTGGACATCCCTCCTGCTGTGACCAATGGAATATAAATAATGACAGCAAACACGGCAATAACCAAGGTGCTGCTTGTAGTGCTGTCTCCAGCATGACTTAGCAATCAGAACTGTCTTCTCCTTCTGGGGGCAATATTTGACCATGATAAATATCTTACCCAGCTTCTCGCTTCCCACTCCACCCCCCTTCAGTAATTCCATTAGGTACCTTACTGCATCCCTCACGTCAAAGTTAATGCAATTACCTCCTCTCATCTTGCATATTAGGTACTAACAGTATTCAGCAAGTGGCTCCAGGCATCAGTGCTTCAACTAATGTCCATATTTTTTCTTTTTATTTGGTTTAGTTGCTCTTATATTGTCTGATTCTTCCCTTCAGCCTGTCCCTCTTCTTATTAGATATAGAAAATGTTCTGGCTGGCAAACATTTAGCAAAATATCTAAGCAAGAGGAAGTCCTGATGGTTTCAGGTTTGTAAGTGTTCTGCTCAGGACTGTGGTGGCTGGGTGCAGTGTGAATTCCACTTGCAGAAGTGCCTTCCCACATGCTGGAACGGACTGTCCTTATGCTCTGCTATTTGCGTAGGGTTTCTAATGCTAGCAGTAATCAAGCTGATGGCCTCATCCGTGCTATTTTTCCTAGTTTCTAAGTTCTGCCCACTCTCTTCCCTTTCTCCCCCTATGAGGTCTGCTTCCCTATTTTCTGTTCTTCTTTTTGGATTACATCTTTTTCTCCCGTTTGCACTTTCCTGTCATTCTTTACCTCTCGTCTCCCTTAACAGCAGAGATGAGCAGTCCCTCCTTTCTCCCTCTCTGGCTCTCTGCCACCCTTTGCCCTGAAGCCAGTCCCAGCCACTCCTCCTTCTCTCCCTGTTCCAGCCCTGAAGCTCCAGTTCTTTATTCAGTCCCATCTTGGCTTTGGTCCTAGTTTGAGATCTTTTCCTATGGTCTCAAGCTCAGTTTTTTTCCTTCCCAGTTTCCCAGGCCCTGCTCGTCTTGTTTGTGTTCCTAATGGGATGGCTCTTGTACAGTGCAGTTGCAGACTGGTGATGTGAGAAATGTGCACCTTCATGTACCTGCTTTACTGATTTAGCACCTTTTAACACCTAACTGTTCAATTTCTCTACCAAATACATGCCATATGGGATTTTTTTAAGGCTTTTGACCTGACTGCATCTGGGTGGTTTTTCAAATGAGAGCAAAATATGTGTTTTTGATTAAAAGGCCATCCCTTGCCAAACTGCACAGCCCTCCTCCAGCTTTGATCTTCCAAACATAACACACTAGTGTTGAAGGAGCCGAATAACCACTCTGTTTATATTTATTCATCTCCTTGGTTTTGTATTGGCAAACTCTATTTTTCCTTCACGGATTCTCACAAATATGCTGAACAAGTCTGGGTTGAAAAAAAAGTCAGGTCTGTGGCTGACATCCAGAATCTGAAATTTCATCCCAAATGATTACGTTCTGGCAAGTTCTAAACAACTGAACAGGGATCTTATTATATAAGATGACTCAGGCAAACTCAGTAAATCACAATTTATCATCTCTAAAGTATTGTCAGGGAGTGTTTATGACTCTGAATAAAGCGAGTTTATGACTGAATAAATTGAGCAATACCATGGTCATTATCTCATTAATTCCACTGGATATTTTTAAGCAGGGAGTTATCCTCCAGGTACATAATAAAGTGCCTGCTTTGCAGCAAACTGCAAGACTGCGATATCTAAAAATGTTCTAAAGCCACGGAGGAATAAAGCCCTTTCTGCAGACTTACCATGCTGGGCAGCACCCTTGGCGGGGCAGGGTGCCCGCTGCCCGCTCTGCCGGCAGCCCAGGCCCCGCACGTCGTCGTCACTGTACAGCACCTGGAGGAGGTCACCCTGGTGGGGCCGACGATCGCCTATGGCTACCACCTACAGGGAAGAGGCAAAACCATCCCGTTACAACTGGCCTTGAGGATTAGGTGGTCTGTCAAGGTCATGGGGGAGTAGCATGGCACTTGCTTTTCCCGCTGCTTTACTGTCATCCAAAGGGAACTTTGATGAGTGGGGACTGTGGGATTTTTGTTTGGCTCCAGCCTTCATGCATGAGATGCATAAAAGTACAGAAAAGTCCTCTCTGGGACCCAGCTACTTAGTTGCACCTTTCTGTGTTCTCCTCAGGAGACTGAAATGTGGTCCTTTTCAAGATCTACTGAATAGGATATGCTTTTGAGACGGCTCAGATTTAGTTTCTTATTGCATCACACCTTGGGCAATCAGACTTAATGCAATGTGAATTACAATGCTATATCCTCATGGTCTCTCCTCTCTTTGGGACTTATTTACGTTTCGTACCTGGTAAATGACTACAGAGGATATGGAGCAGTGAATAGTTGTGCTCCTGGAGACAAATTTTCACAAACATTAGCTTGCACAAACAAAACTCGCTGAGAGCTGCGTCTTTAAACTCCAGGCCCTCTGTATCTCAGAGTCCCTGAAAACGAGCATGAATAAAATCAAGTTCATTTCTACATCAATCACAACTAAGACATGGCACTCACTGTTCTGCCACAAGCAACTGGGGAGACCAGAGCTAATGGGAGTTTACAAAAACAGGGATATGCCTCAAGGAAGTGGATTTATCAGGACTTTTATCCAAGATGGTCCAGAAACAGTTTTAGCATGAAGATGAAAGTTCCAACAG